AAAGTTAGCATTCCTAGTATTCAGCTCTTGCTGAACTACTTTTACTTTGAATCATCTGTATCAGATCGCTATACAGTGAAAGCTGTGTATAACATAGAAATAACTTTACAACATGTGCATCTGGTTGGATGTTAACAAATTTAGGAGTGTTTTGGGGTTTTTTTTTTTTGTTTAACTGAACATTGCCAAACTATTATTCTAAGAATAGGTAGTTATAATTATTTTCTCAGGTTAAGTTCTGTTATAAAAACTCAAGCAGAAAACAATGTATATTGAATTCAATTGTTATAAAACCATTAACACTCAATATGAGGCTGTTTATATATTTTAAATTAAAAAAGGTCTTACAACTGCCATAAAGGTGTCGTCTATAAACTTAATGAAGAAAATCACTGTTCCATTTTTTACTAATTTGAATTCTCTAATAATAGATGACAGACAATTGCAAGTTTATTAGTTATAGAAATACATTATGATTAATATTTCTGTAATTAGGAAGATTATAAGGATCAAAACAGTTCCTCTTCACTGCACTATGCAAAAAAAAGTGTAAAGAGTGAAAAGTATGTTTAGATAATGTGTAGATTAAATTTTGTAATTTCTGGAAGAACTACTGGAACACTGAGCTGACATCTTTCTTACATTATTATGAAGTTAGCTGTCCAGCTTTATTCATGAATAGGTCAGTAAGATTTGCTGATGCATCTTTTGTTGATAATTTGAAAAAAATCAGCATTCATATGTGAAGATGTAAATTATACTAAACATATAAAGATATTTTAATAACTTTGTAGACGGTATAAAAATGCAGTATCCACACAAGTTACCTTATTTGAACTTTACCTTTCTGTAGGCATTTTTGATATTTTAAAATACAAAGATCTTGCTTTTACAATATCAGCTTTAAGATCACTGTATTATGTTTTTCATCCAAAAAATATTTTAGCTAGTTCAAGAACCTTTCCATGTAGATTAGTTTTGTAAATCTCCATCCAAATTTGTGCTGCTATAGAAATTTCTAAGATTAAAAATTCTAATCTTAAGATTTTACTGTTTGGCTATATACATTACAGCATTAACATTGCAAAGCAGCAGTAGTTTAAGAACTAAAGAAAACACTCTCTTGTTCTTATTTTGAATGAACTATATAGGCAGAACTTTCTTTAAACAGTGGGGATCTAAAAGTGACATCTCAAACTGAAGGACAGATCTGTGAGAAGTGGTCACAAATATATAGCCAACCATTTGAAAAAGATACTCTAGATCAGTGGTTCCCAACTGCCGGTCCGCGGACCGGTGCTGGCAGCAGGAGGAGTCCAGCCAAGAGAAATCTCCCTCCCTGCTTCCTCTTTCCCCGTTCCCCATGCCTGCTTGGGGAGGGAGGAAGCGCATGTTCCACCAATGGCTGCTCTCCTTGCCCGTGTGGCCAATTTTGCCGGTGGCTGAGACAGCAGCAGGAGGGTACCTCCCCTTACCTCCCCTCTCAGTAATGATGGCCAGCCAGGGCTCCACACTCCCCCCTTCAACCAATGGGGATTCAAGACATGCTTGGGGAGGGGGCATGAAGAAGAAGGGAGCAGGCATGCCAACAGCCACTCCACCTGCATGCATGTCAGTAACAGCCATGCTCCCTAGAGGGGGAAGCCTCACTCTGAGGAGTGCGGAGGTGGGGTGGGGACAAAAGGGTGTTGAGTGGGCTCACGGGGTAAGAGGGTGTTCGCATGGTCTATAAAGGTCAAAGGGCATGGGTCATAGGCGTCAAAGGGTGTTAGGCACTGGGGAGCAAGGCTGGGTTGGGGCTTGGTGGACAGGCAATGAATATGCAAATAAAATGTTTCCAGTCTGCCAAAAGTTTGTGACTGGTTTTGCCGGACTGTGGCATAAAAAGGGTTGGGAACCACTCTCTAGATCATCATTTCAAACAGTTGCTACATATGCAGGCCAAAATGGTGAATCTTTTTTAATTAGAGGCATGTGAATAGTCTCAATAAAAGAACTCTCTCCCTTAATTTTGCCTTACCTTTCAGGGCTTTTGTCCAACCTCTCTCTATTTTTATATAGGTACTAGGAAAGAGGTCATTGAACCATCTGATTTGACTGAAAATGAAACAGCTTAAATTTTCACCTTAGCACTCTCATAACCTTCACATTCATGTTGAAATAAAGCAGCCTTGCTCAATTTCATGTGAGTTTTTTAATCCTTTTTTGTCCATCACATAGAGATTATTTTGGTTTCATTCCTAAATTATTCTGAGCACGTCAATGGACTGCTGGTCTATTCCTGCCATGACTGTTTTTTCCTGTGCCAAGAAGCGACTAGTCGAATTCTCTCCTTCCCGTCTTCCACCACCGCCGCCCCTCCCGTGCTTGTTGCCTCTTATCAGAGAGAAGTAGCAATGGGGGATACCAGGAGCCAGCTTAAAAGCTGGTTCCCAACAGTACCACCTCTGCGAGGGGGAGGGGAGGCAGAGGCACAGTGGGAAATGATGTGAATGGGGAC